CTGAGCTGCCATCTACTTGCAAGAAATAGAATTTCGATATATAGTTTCTGTATGTTTGCGGTAGATGGCGCAACTTCCAGCTACACGATTTGCTAAATCTAAAAGTAAAAAGTGATTTCTTGGAACCCAATGGTCAAAACAAGAGTCAACAAACTCCTCCGAAGAAGTAACAGCCCATCTGATATATTGCTATACGGCTGAATACTAATTTGAACAGATGGGTTTCATAAATATCAACGTTCTTTTATTACTGTGGCTTGAAACGCAATTATAATCTACAAAAATAAAATAAAACAAACAGGCATTAATTGATGTTAAAAATCAAACTCGGTTAATTGACAGAAAAAGCAAACTAAGCGATAATTTATATCAATACAGTTGTCTGAAGAATTACTTCCAGTGTAATTTACTTTGCAGTGAAGACAAAAAAAAATCAAAGACTAGCTTTCTTTCGAACAGTGCATCTTTACAAGACAGAATCAGCAGGTATTTTTTGATTTAATCGTTATAAAGTCGCTGAATTCGCTCAACATCTGCCATGCTTATCAGTAGGAAAAGTGACTAATGTGCTTCATTTGAATAACTACTGATTCATCACACGTACACATTAAACAATAAAAATAAAAAATAAAAATGATATACTGCCAAAATCTGTTTAGCAAGTCAATAAATCTTTATTTCAGGGATGTTTCTGATATGGAAAAAATGGAGGTCTGAAGTACCGAGATTGGCTGATTATAGATCTTAATCCTCGTGCTGTATTCAGTTTCATGTATCCTTATAAGGATATTGATAAACTCATTTTTTTAAATTGATTTCGATTTACCGAATGAGCATCACGTGTTCAGCAGACAATTAACAGAATTCGAGTCGTTTAAATTATGTATATACTGTATATATATGCCTCCACACTTTTTACAATTTGATGTAAAAATCACGGCCTGGTGGGTACAGACAGAAAATAAAACGTGAAATACGGAGGAGCAAGTGAATTTTTATATTTATTTTTCGCTCGAGAATATAATAATGGCTTTCCTTCTTAGAACATAGAAGAGAGACTAAAACAGTGAAGATAAAGTATCGATAATTCTGCAAGGTTTCAGCCGGTTTTCCATTTTGTAACGAAGATAAAATCTAAACTCCAAAACAAAAATGAATGAAAATGAGAATCTTTATCTTTATTGGGAAATCAAATTTCCATTACATTTTGTTAGCAGAGCAAACAGGTCATTAGGTAACCTTTTTTTTTTGCCCACTTCTATGTTAATTGCAGAGATGGACTTCTATTTACATTGATAACCGTTAATATTCATGTTTTAAAATATCAGCTTAGTGTGTTTTGTTGTCATTCTTAAATATTTAAGCCTAATCGAAGTTTTATGTTCAAAGTAATAGGATTGGAAAAAAACTAAAACTTTTTCCGGAATATTCCTAACATAATTTAAATTTTAAGTTTGTAATATATTTAAAAAAAAAGAGAAACTTTAATACAACTGATTATGGCTTAATAACTTGTTTATTTGTTGTTAAGCACAAAGATACATAATGGGCTATCTGTGCTCTGCCCACGGATATCGAAACCTAAGAGTTTACCTCTATGCTACTGAAAGAGGGGGGGGGATAAGGATTGTATGTAATATTAGTCAATCCTAACTAGTTTGTTTGTTTGTTTTTGAATTTCTGCGCTAGCCGTCCCTAATTTAGCAGTGAAAGTCTAAAGGGAAGGCAGCTTGTCATCACCACCCACCGCCAACTCTTGAGCTACTCTTTTACCAACGAATAGTGGGATTGACAGTTCACATTATAATGTCCCCACGGTTGAAAGGGCGAGCATGTTTGGTGGGACGGGGATTCGAACCCGCGACCAGCAGATTGCGAGTCGAGCGCCCTAACCACCTGGCCCATAAAGTGAAAACTCTGACTGTAGAGCCCCCAACTGGCACAGCGGTATGTCTGCGAACTTATAACGATACCCGTGGTGGGCAGAGCACAGATAGCCCATTGTGTAGCTTTGGTTTTTGTTTTGTTTGATTTAGCGCAAAACCACACAATGAGCTATCTACGCTCTATCAATAACGGGGAACCGGAGATAAAGAAACCTACAATGTTTACGATAAGTATTGTCTGTTCTGGTCAACAGTTTCGGGTTTTGGTGTTCTTATTGTGTGTGTGTGGGGGGATTTAAGACAAAAGTTTGTATACAGAACATTTCTAACAAACTGACATCATGGGCTTTCAAAAAAGGGTTTCAACGTGAAATAACCTTTATTGTCGAGAACGTAACTGTCAACGGGAAACATTGACAGTTTTGGTACTGAGAGTTAGTTGCACTTCATAAGAACTTTGTTTTAAATCCTGTTCTGCCCTTCGAACTACTTGTTACATTACGGAATTTGCTCACTCTGATGGCCATGGTTACACACTGTTGTTAGATACCACAATCTCCACTATTATAAGCTTCTACGTTTTGTGTTAAATTTAAAATTTTATATTGCCAAAATATTGAGTTTATTCACTTAATTATAAAAAATAACTCCAAATTAAGCTGACATAAATGTTCTAAGATTAAGACACGGACTTTAATTTTTTTTCAAATTTGAGTTATATATGTGAATTTATATTAAGAAGAACGGCAGTGACCGGACATTTAAAAACAATAGATAAGATCCTGTTTTCATAACACAATGATGAAAAACAAAGTGATTATACCATAATTTATTTGTGATCTAACCTTTATAAACACAGGCTGGACACAATAAATTTTATTTCAACAAATCACTTCCATCGTGTGAGTTGATATGACTTAAACAATATATAAATTTCGATGTATTAAACATTCTTAAAAGGAAAATGGTAGACCATACCAAAAGTCTTTATAATTCCATGATCCCAAGGCTTCAAACTCGTGGTGGTATTCAAAAGTGCTCATAAGGTGCCACAGAGAGCAAGGGATAGTCGAACGGATATACAGACTAACTCCCTGCTTATAATATAAGCAAACCAATGTTTGAACCATCAGACATTCTGTTGAATTCCAATCTAAAAGTTTCTCTGTTGTACTATTACAAATTATGGAGTGAATGTAAATAAAGAAACTCTTGAACTGATTAAGAATAATCGTAATATAATGTTTGAACAGATATATATATATATATATATATATATATA